GCTAGATGGCGGTAGTGTAAAACCTCGCCGCCATACTGGAAAGTCATAAATAAAGTGTATTTGCGCCATATTCTGTAATAATCTGTATATAATATCTGAAAATTATCATCATGGATAGCACACGAGTAAAGTGTGAGGGTAGTAGTGCTCTTCCTCAAACACCACGGCGATTCCCGTCTAGACTCGTCCTAAAGAGGAAAATAATAGGCAGAGAACATAGCTACAGTGTGCATGGAACTCGTCAGAAAACGAAGTTACCTGCAATATTTGGCAAATTCCTGGACCATATTCAATCCTTTTCTATCCACAACGACTACAAACTGAACCAGTGCAAATTTTATGATGAAGAGTCAGGCTGGTGGCTTCATGTATTGCCGGAGAATTTACAGATTCCTGTCAGTAGGATTGGACCAATAAGTGCTGTAAGTATAGTCGTGAGTGGAGAAGGGAAAGTAGGTTTGCGAGTGTTGGAGACTGTTGTGGAGGAGCAGGATTGTGTTGTCGCAGGCATATATATGAGTGACCTCTTTGAAGACATGCTAAAGAAACTTATTACCTATGCCCCCTGTTTAGGTTTGGATGAAGCAAAATATAAATCAGTTACTGGACATTTGGAATACTCGCCGAAATGTGTGCAGAAACAATTCCCTTATATTCACTACGTGTCACAAGCATGTGAAGTTTACATCAAGCCTTTAAGAAAAACGTCAACTACATGTAGGAAGTGCTCGCGGATGTTAAGGACCATGCGACGTGGGAATGTGAAAGCATCAAAATTAACAGATTCTGAAAAAAGAAGGCGACTGTTGCCATCATCCAGCTATCCGATATCTCTGCTCTCTCCAACTAATAAAAAAGTTCGATTACAAAAACAAGCCAGTAAAATGAGCACCTTGAGAAAAAGCTCAGCCAACATGAAATAATGCTGGAAGAACTCTCAGTGCAACTGAGCCAAGAACAGAGCGATGATTTAAATTGTGCAGTACAATTTATGACAACGACAAAAGAAGGACCGGAGGGATTCACTAAGCTGATGAACGCTACCCAGAAGGAGGCAGGCAAGGAAGTAGCAGATGCGTGGGAGAAGGAACTATAACTACTATTGTGCAACTATAACTTATGTTTCTATAAATAAATGGTTACTTTTGTAAATTAATTTAAAGCTTTGTAAATTGATTTAATGCATTGTAAATTGATTTGGGATTCTAGGTTTAAATTCTTTAGAAGTGATTTTTGAAGGTAATGGCTTGCCATATATATACATATATACTACAATGCATGTAATGATCACGGAGATTATCCAGAGAGACATGATACAAGATTGCGTGGCACAGCTTCGCTGTTGATCCTGAGCGCTGCACCCGGATGAGACGCGAATTTTCTTATTTAGGTGGAGCACCCCTACCCCCCGGGGGGCATATGCACAGTGTAACTCAACGCTCAACTAAACGGCTACAAATCAACAATCTGTATTTACACGCACAGTTTTTATTTCATACCAAGCTGACGCAGGTTCATTATAATATCATATTCTCTCACACACACACTACACACGCGCATATACACGCATACAGTCTCTATCACCCCTCTCGGCTCTCTCTCTCTCTCTCTCTCTCTCTCTCTTTCTTTCTCTCTCTCTCTATCTCCAACTCTCTATCTCTCTATCTCTCTATCTCTCGCTCTCTATCTCTCTCTCTCATCCTCTCCCTCTCTCTCACACTTTCTCACTTGCTTTCATTCACACGTTCTCTCCTCTCTTTTACACACGCATACTCGTCAATTATAGATACCAGTATATAAACAAAACGTACATAAGTACTTCCTACGCGTTCTTAGTAACCCATAATAATAATAATAATAATAAACTATCGCCATCGAAGGTTATCAAATCCTCACAACCCACCACAAAACAAACCGGCAGATGGCAGCACTTGCTACATATATATTCATAGTAACGGGTGCACGTTAACAGCGGCAGCATTTGTCCGAAACATTAAAATTAGTTGCGACGCAAATCCTGTGAAGCGTCGTAGGAAAGTTGACATTTCAGATTCGTTCTAGTCGCGAGCTATTAACAATATTTCCGACAACGGGTCACACAGGAGTATACTAAAATGAATGCACCGTCAATGGTATAACGCGACGAAACCGTATATTTCAAACGTAAACGTTCTCTCTCTCGAGGAAAACTATACATGTACATGTCGATATTAGTAAACGCTACTAATGCCTACTATGACGTGGTGACGTCACAACGTGATGACGTCACGACGTGGCGACGTCAAGTCGCGATGACGTCACACGACACGGTGACGTCACAGCGTGGTGACGCCACGACGCAAAGACGTCACGCTGGGATATCGCCACGACGCGATGACATCGTGACGTGACGTCACCACGATGCGATGACGTCAGAAAGCGATGACGTCGCAACCCAATGACGTCACGCGGTCCAGTCCACTAAAACGCCCGCCCACTGCCGCCCCACCCCATCCCAATCCCAATAACCTCCTTCCTCTACCCCGTCCCACTAGCCCCACCCCCTCCCCAATCATTCCTATTCACCAACCCTGTCCCAATAGCACCCTAAAGCCTAGCGCACACGTGAGTAATTTTACTCAAGTAAAATGATGCATGCGTCAAAATACTTACATGTGCGGCGGATTTTCGTTGAGTATTTTGACGCAAGCACCATTTTACTCGAGTAAAATTACGGACGTGTGCGCCGGGATTTACCCGACCCCCTCCCCAATAGTTTTATTGGCCAACCCCTTCGATTGCTGTTCTCTATACACCCTCCCCCAATAATTTCTTTCCCCTTTTAAAGTTGCTCCCACCCCCTACAATGAACCCCTGCCTCTTCTACTACCGCCCTCCCTCTCCCACCACCCACTAGCTGCTACTCCTACGAAAGCTTCCTCTTGCTACACGAGAGAGGAATGAGCGAGGGCAGAGCGCGCAACAAGAGGGCGTTCTCGACGGGGGAAGGAACCGCCGCCGCGCGCGTACGGTGGCGCCCCCTCAGCTCGGCCGGCACTGGACGGTGCCCTCGGCGCGGTCGCCGCCGCCGGCTCCGCCTTCGGCAGCGGTGGCGCCCCCTGCGTCGTCGTCCATGCTCGTGATGCGGTAACCCATGTTCATGAGCATCACCTCGAGCGGGTCGGCGTTCATGCGCTTTTGATTCTCGCGCGCCGCATCCAGCGAGTTGGTGACCTCGCGCTCGTTACGCTCGCCCTGTGCATCGTTAATTAAGACGTCGTTAATATATACGGTTTTTTTTCACAAAATGTAGTCAATAACGTTAACACACGTCCGTCATATATTACGGATATAATACGGTTTTTTTACGAATTATTTGCGGTGATTCGTGTTTATTACTAGAAATATTACTGCTAATTACTACAAGTACGTCGTTGCTAATCATTTTAACCGTCATTATTAACAGCCTAAACATGTTATTATAACATATAATATATATATGTAATATTATTATTAACAGCACATGATATTTAATTGTTAATAATTTTCATGAATAACATTTAATTAACTAAAATAATAAGTTATTTATAATTATTTAGTAACGTTTAATTATTTTCGTAATAATTAACGCGGTAACGAGGAGACCCACCTCGGGCCGCGGGCTCCACAGCCTGACGACGGGGTCGATGCCGCTGGTTGCTAGGAGACAGGATGTGGGATGCGGCTGCAGGCAGTTGACGATGCTATCATCTCCGCGCAGCACGCGAAGGATGTTCGTCGTCTGCTTGTCCCAGATGAAGAACGAGCCGTCGTCGGAGCCGGCGAGGATGTACTGACCGTTGCTGTGCAGCGCGAGATAGAGAGTGAGAGAGGGAGAGAGAGGGAGGGGGGAGAGAGAGAAAGGGAGAAGGTAGAGGGAGGAAGGGAGGGAGAGAGAGAGAGATCGAGCCGTCGTCGGAGCCGGCGAGGATGTAGACCGTTGCTGTGCAACGCCAGATAGAGAGTGAGAGAGGGAGAGAGAGGGAGGGAGGGGGGAGAGGGGAGAGAGAGGGAGAGGGATAGAGAGAGAGAGAGAGAGAGGGGGGGAGGGAGGGAGAGAGAGAGAACGAGCCGTCGTCGGAGCCGGCGAGGATGTACTGACCGTTGCTGTGCAGCGCGAGATAGCGATAGGTAAATAGATGGATGGATGGATGGATAGATAGAAAGATAGATAGACAGATAGAGATTAAGAGATAGATAGATCTATAGATAGATAGAGATTGAGAGATAGATAGATAGATAGATAGATAGATAGATAGATAGTAGCTAGATAGATAGATAGATAGATACGTACATACATAGAGAGAGTACCAGAAAGAAAGCTAGAGATATAGCAAGAGAGAAGGAGAGAGAGAGAGGGCGAGTGACAGAGAGGGAGGGTTATGTGATGTCACACGCTCTCGTCTTCACTGTCTCTCTTTCTCTCTGTTTAGTTCTCTCTCTCTCTCTCTCTCTATCGCTCTCTCTATCTCTATATCTCTCTCTCTCTCTCTCTCTCTCTCTCTCTCTCTATCTCTCTCTCTCTATATCTCTCTATCTCTCTCTATATCTCTCTATCTCTCTCTCTATCTCTTTATCTCGCCTCACCTGCCGAAGAAGTTTGCCTCCTTGATGTCGGTCGTTGTGTTGCAGTGTCCGTAGAATCTCTGCTCGTAGTCGTACGCTTCCGCCCGCCACTCACGCTCCTCGTCGCTGATCACTTGTTTTCGCACGCCGCGCCGGTCGCTCGACGGCATCCCGCCGCCGCCATTGCCATTGCCCGCTTTTTCTCCTTCCTTGCTGGCGACCTCTACTGGCGGAAAATCGCGAGAGTGCGGAATTACGAGTGTTGCTAGGTTTTACGTGACGAATGAATGATTCATTTTCCATTGCTGTACTATCTATCTACCTATAAAAATTTTAAATATATATGCATATATAACATTATAGGAATTTCATATTGATTAATTATTTTTATATATTAAAATTGCCTTAGAGTAGAGTATAAATCGACTTTTAATTTTATCGAATTTAATTATTACTGTAATTTATGAACACGAGACAGATACTAAAATAGCACTGAATTAAACTGAAATTAACAATATCGATGCATTTTGTCATCGTTATCAATTATGATTATCATGCCTGACACACGCACCCACACGCACGCACGCACCCACACGCACGCACACAAATATGCACGCACACACAGACGCACGCACACAAATATGCGCGCACACACACGCACGCACACAAATATGCGCGCACACACACGCACGCACACACGCACGCACGCACACACGCACGCACGCACGCACACACACACACACACACACACAGACGCACGATCATACCCGATATTGGGGAACACGACGCGGATTGCT